CGATACACTTAATTTCAACAATCGCGCTAAAAAAAACGCGATAACAACGAACGTGCTCAACTTCAATAATAAAACTGGTTTATTCTTTCCGAATATAACTTTACGATACACTTAATTTCAACAATCGCGCTAAAACAAACGCTATAACAACGAACGTGCTCAACTTCAATAATACTCGCTGACTGCAGGTCAATTACTCACTGTCTACACACACATTGTTCTGTCACGTTGTCACCCTCTTATATATATACCAGACTACCCTATATCTAGTAATCTCCCGACAATTCCCGAAGGTTCAAGAGAACGAGTCACGTGACCTCACTGACGCAACAATATGATTATTTATTTTACCTAATCTAAGCTTAACTAACCTAAAATGTTTCCTTTTACATTTTAGTTACTTTTATAACAAATAAATAACACAACTAAAAAACCAGAAATAAACTACTTACCTAGGCTTTCTTTGTTTTGTTGTCAACTGTCGATGACACTTATCCCTACTTTTTTTATATGAATTGTAGTATTGCACTAAATAATTTTTTTATTTAATTAACCTTACCACCACAGGTATCCTTTACTCCATGACACAAGGTTTTAGTGTCTTACGTTCAAAATTTTATTAAACTACTTTTTGTTTATGTTATACAATTAGAATAGCATAAAATCTTAGCTAATAATCCATATTTTAATATTATACAAGTTTTAAGTTCTTAATTCTACAAGGCAATATTTAAAAAAATCCTGAATTTTTGCTAGTGTGACCCACGTGACATATTCTCTTAACATGTCATCATCCCTAATTTATCCCTCCAAAAAAGTATGAAATTAAACACAAATTACTCTCCATAAAAATCTTTATTGCTCAGACAAACCATAATTTTGTTTAGTTACAGAGCTATCGATTAGAAAATCAGACCCCACCTGTCACATCCTCTCTTTCACAATTCTTTGATAGTTCTCTCTTATGTTTCATTATATATTACCTATAACCAATAGAAAGTTTTCATCTATCAAATGTTATGTTCTGAACAGTTAGATGTCAATTTCACTCAGAGTACCAACATCGTTCCCATGGGAAAGTTAAGAACTAGGTTGGATGAATTTGTAACAGCTCTTGTTGCATAGTTAGAAAGCCAGAAAAATTTTGAGAGGTAAAGGAATTTGTCTACTTTTTGCATGTTCTTAGTCAATATTCTTTGGTGCATTATTTAATTAAATAAAATGATTAAGTGCATAACTATCATTAGTATAAAAAAAAATTAGGGTTAACTCTCTTTGAAAACCGACAGCAAGAAAAAAGAAGATTGGTTAAGTATTTTATTTTTTTTTTCATGTTTATAAAGTAACTAAAATATAAAAATAGGGATCCTTTTAGGTTTGTTAAGATATGATTAGGTTAAGTAAATAATAATAATATTATAATAAAAATATTTCACAAGGCATACAGGCAAGCAGCTTGTGGGTAATGTAATTCATTAGGGTAACGTGAGATGCACATTCCCCAAACGAGTTACAACTTATAATGGTGCGGATAGTAGTAAGACATGGTTCAAAGGGCAATAAAGCCATAAAATGTAATTATAAACAGATGTATACTGTTACGAACTTAGAGGTACTTAGGATAAACGATTGTAGTTTCATGATACAATTTGAAGTCATCCTAGAAAGAAAAAAAAAGGGGGTAATTTAGGTTTATTTGGATTTTTTTGGTGGTTACAAGGTCAGTCGAATTGACCGATCCTGTTTTGAGATAGGGTGGAGAAAATAACAGATAAACTATAAAGTTTTACTGAAAAAGAACGTTTGAAATGCATTTAGGAGATTTTAGGGATTATACAAAGGAAATTTGGAATTTTTGAGATGGGAAAAAGTATTTTTAATTTTAACATGAAAATTACTTTGCAAATGAACTATTCAAAACAAATACTCAATATGTTCATGGACAAATATTTATCTTATTTTATTAAAAATACTAAAAAATATGATTTTTTGTATGTGAAAGACTTATAATATTAACTAAAAGACTGCCAAATTTTGTGAAGATATACCCAATATATTGAAAATTAAAAGTATTAAATCTATAAAGACTTTAAACGAGTACAAAGAGGTCACATGGTCAGTCAAACTGACCGATCCTGTGTTGAGTGAGTTAAATAATGCACCAAAGAACACAGAATAATCTGACAACGTCCTACAACTATAACAATTTTTCCGACTTTCTAACTACACAACAAGAGCTGTTACAAATTCATCTAAGCTTGTTGATGTATTTCCCATGGGAATACAGCTTGAACTGAAAGCAAAATAGATGCTTCCCCATATAGAAAATAACTTAATATAATACATAATTTGATAGGTGAAAAAACTTGGTTTTCTATTTGTTATACATAATATAGTAGTGAATATTAGAGAACTATTGGTGATTTCTGAAAGAGAGGATGTGACAGGTGGGCATAGCATAAGGGGTCTGATTTTCTATTTAATGTCTCTGTAACCAAATGCGATTGAAGACTATGAAAATTATGCTTTGTCCGAGTGATGATGACATTACGATGACTAATTTATGTTACATTTCGTATTTCTTGGAAAGGTGGTAAATAAATTAAAGAGAGGATACCTAGAGAGAAAATGTCACAATTCTTACACTCTGGGAAATTCAGGTTTTTTAATATATCCTTACAAAATTAATAACTTAAAACTTATATACTATTAAAATATGGATTATTAGCTACATTTTTATGTTATATGTATTAGTATATCACAAAAAAGAAAGTAGTTTAATTAAATGTTGAATGCAACTCACTAAAAACCTTGTGACATGCACAGAAAAAGATGCCTGTGGAAAGAGGGTTAATTAATATTTTGTTTCTCCCACTTAACTAATTAAACCCGCAATGTATTTCTTGTTTCATCTTTGTGTATATATGTTTGCACTGGGTGAAGAAGAGATTTGATTAATTCAGCACAAAATAGCAATTTCCTTTGCTTATAAATCACAAATGCAAAATTGTACTTAATTAGAAGCATTAAAATTCCAGGCAGCAATACCTCTCTATTGATCAGGGTGAAGAGTCGCATAAGCTACAATAAACAAGAAACCCTAAGTATAATATTATAATGTCTATAAACTAGTAATATGGAAATGTAGCCCTTAGTCATGACTACATTCCATGCAAAAAGCAACATTACTCTTGATATATATCTGACATAAGATTTCTCTTACACATTTGCAAGCCTGTTAGTCTCAGGTTTTGAACATTAATGTAGATTCATTAGTTTGTCAAAAACATGGATAAGTGGGTATTACATATCGGCAAAAAATTATCACATTTGTTTTTAGTGGTGGCTCAAAGTAAACAAACATAAGGAATCATTTAATGATGGTGATAGTAAAGAACAACATATCACTAGTTCTGTAGCTGGACCAAGCACTTTCTTGGTTTTTGTTTCTAATTCTTCTGTCACTGAAATGAGCACCAACCTAAAATTAAAGTAACAGGATGAGGATGATTATCTAAAATTTGGTTTCACTTACAGAGTTGGTGATAATGAGGAAAAAGCACAGAGCATTAATTATTCAATGACTTTAGCTAATGATGGCATAAGGTCAAATAAACTTGCAATGCACATGGAAACCAAACACCCTGACTAAGTGGGTAAAACAACAGAGTTCTTAAAGCAAGAAGTGAAACAAATGAAAAGACAAAGCAGCTTGCTTGAAAAGAAGGGTCATTGTTCCACCAAAAACCTTGAAAGCTTCTTTAGAATATCTTATTTGATTGATAAAAGCATGAAGCAACACAATATAGGAGAAATATTAGTTCTTCCTGCTTTCATAAAAATACAGTGAAACCCCAATTTTACGCGCCCCGATTTAATGCGAATTCGGATACAACGCGATAGGTCATTGACTCTTTCGACACAGGCTCAGTCCATGGGACGGACCTCGTAACCATAAACTCGTTATAGTTTACATACTAATAACTTTCAATATTTTAAATGTATCTTTACAAAGTTTTGTAGACTTATAGTAAACATTAGAAGCTTTTTGCACACAAAAAATCTATTTTTTAATGAAGTATTTTTTCTTAAATTTGTCTGTGAAAATACCAATTCCTTTTTTAACTAGTCTGAGTGCAAAGTGATTTTCATGTCAAAATTCAAAATACTTTTTGTCATCTAAAAAAATCTCCTCTGTGTAATTCATAAAACCTCCTAAATGCATTTCAAACGTTTTTTTTTTCACTAAATCCTCCAACAATGCTTGAAGCCTATCTGAAAAACCTGAACATGAAGGAAGTTTGCCACTTAGGTGGGAAGGCCTGGGCAGCAGTCAGCTCGTCGTGTGTAGAGAAATGCTGGGAGAAAGGTCTGGGGCTAGCCTTTTCATCACGGCAATCCACCACGGAAGATGATGATGACGAGACAGATTGTATGGCTTCACAGAGGAAGATGTGCATGAGGCAATGAAGTTGTCTGAATGGAGCAAAGAAGAGCTACACCAGTGGCACTCTGTTGACAACAAATGCTCAACATATGAGCATTTGACGGATGCAGAGATCGCCCGTAACATAACTATAGCACCGATGGAGGCAAGTGTACCAGTTCTCGAGCCACAAGAAGAGGATAATGAAGAGCCTCCATCACCACCACCAAAAGTGTCTAAAGCCATTGAACACCTCAAGGCTAGCCTCCATTGGCTGGAGATGCAGAAGGTGGACCACATAAAAATCCTCCAACTCATAAGCATTCTAGATTTCACTCACAGCCAGAAACATGCTACGTTCAAGCAAGGAACACTCGATCAGTTTTTTAAGAAATAAACTGCAAATGATGATTGCTAATATTCTTGAAAGTTTTTATTTGTTATTTTGTTTATTAAAAAGCCTACTAAAAATTATTTGTGTTTTAATTTCTACTGTAACAACAATGATTCATTTGCAAAATTCTTTAATTCAGAGGTAATTTACTCACCAGAAAGGGAATGTGTAAAAAACTAGTCAAAGAGGGCAAAAATAGAGGTGTTTTAGGATGTTAGGTCAACATCCGGGGCAGTTTGAACAGTGATTTTCTTGAACCCCGATTTAGCACGACCCCGCTTGTTTCTTGATGACATTTTATGGACCCCAACAATCATGTTATAATGGGGCTACACTGTATGTGAGATCATGCATGGAGTGAGGTGTGGTGAGGCCTTAAAGTCTATCCCTTAATCACATGACACTGTCAACATGGTGTATTGATGTAATCTCTACTCATAAAAATGCAACTGATAATAAGTATCCAGATTAGTCCAAAATTTACCATACCACTTGACTTCTGGTATTGTACAATTCTGTTGTCAAGAGAAAGTGTGTGAAAAGTTTGTTTTGTCAAACACTGGAAAGGAGCTACAGAAAAGCCATCTTCTCTCTCTTGTTGATGAATTTTTTTGCTACAAACAATCTTTCTTGGATTTATTGTTGGTGTATGCAACTGATGGTACAGCTACATTTATGGAAACAAAAAATTCAAAGCCAAAATGTTCTTGCTCCATGTGTAACATTTATGCATTGCATCTCACAAATGCACTTGCTACAGAGAAAGCCATCTTCTCTCTCTTGTTGATGAATTTTTTTGCTACAAACAATCTTTCTTGGATTTATTGTTGGTGTATGCAACTGATGGTACAGCTACATTTATGGGAAACAAAAAATTCAAAGCCAAAATGCTCTTGCTCCATGTGTAACATTTATGCATTGCATCTCACAAATGCACGTGCTCCAGGTGTAACATTTACACATTGCACTATCTTCAAAGTAATTGCAGCCCAAAGCAAACAATGTGTTACAAGATGCTGTGAGCAAGTTGTTTGCCACTTTTTGTGGAGAGATGGGATCCACGTATGACAAGATCCTGCTGCATACAGAGGTGTCCTGTTTATCTCATGGGAAGGTATTCAGTCACATTGTGAAGCTGAAAGACAAACTTTGTATTTTATTTGTTAGACTGTAAACCCACATCAGCAGCACAATCTGTGGATGAAAAATGGCTTTTAGTACTGTGCTACCTGGATGATAATTTCAATAAACTTTATAACTTTAACCTGTCACTGCAAGGTTGGAATAGCAATATTTTGTAGCTGAGTGACAAAGTGCCTGCATTTCACAAAAAACTTGTGCTGTGGAAAAACCAGTTTGAGAATGAAAACTGTGAAATGTTTCCTTTCTTCAGTGAATTCCTGGAAGAAAATGAGTTAAATCATAGTCTTATATCTGATGTTATTTCTATTAATCTAGAAAGACTTCATTATGAACTTGTGGATCAATTCCAAGAATCAAAGAACACAGATGGAACCAAAATCCATTCAATGGCATTATAACTTCTCATCTGCCAATGGCGGCTCAAGAAAAGCTCACAGAACTATCAAGTGATAAAACTCTTTAAGCATAACTCAAGTCATAACCTCTTGGAAACTTCTCTTTGTTAGTTCACAAAGAATACCCTGTGATTTCCAAACTGCTGTCTAAACAATTCAGCCAATAATGAACCTCATCTTATCCCATGGTCAAACCCATCCTTCACACTAAATTAGTGAGTAAACTGAAACTGTTTGCTTTATGTTATGTACCATTTTAATACTTGTTTTATTTTTTACAAACTGAGGTTCCTGTCCTTTGATTGGATTATGGACTAAAAAAAATGAGGGAGTGGATGCTATGATAAATAACACAAAAATCTTTCACACATTTTATCTATAACATATTATTCATTATTACCTCATCAAAAATTTTGTATAAGCTTTAAGAACTCAATATGTATACAGTTAAAACATGGTATACACAGTGCAATGGTCTGGATGACTTTGTAGGAAAAGGTAGCAGCCAAAGAAGTAGCAGCAGGTGTGCTTTCTGTTACCCGCTTTCAACACACAGCTCTTAATGTCCTCCCACAGTGTTGCATGTGATTAATTAAATGATGGTCACTGGTTGCAGAAGTGTCTTATGGGTCAAAGTTGAGAAGTCAAAGTACAAAGTGGGTATAACTCAAGAAACAGTTCTTCATATCAGCCTTATTGTGGCTGTTGAATTAGAAACTTCAGCTGAGTTTATCTATTATTGCAATAGTGGCCACCATGTTTTTCATTGCATTTCTCCACATAGATTGCTAGCACATTATCTGAGATATATAAGACATTTATGTGGCTTCCCTCCCACACTGTGTGTATGTTGTGCTACAAAAAACTTAATAAAGTTTTTTGCTTTGTTTTTATGTAAGGACATGTCACCATCTATGAATGTAGTTAACATTAACTTCTTTCAAAGATAACAACTGCTCAATAATAGCAATAACTGGGTGGCAGGGGGTTGAGAACCCATCATTAACATGCCTCTTGTTCCAAACTATCATTCTACAAAGTCTTGATGAGATTGGCCCAGTGACCTAGTAGTAGTTAGATAACGGACAGACAGACACAGATTTTTTCTTGCAGGTGGAGGAATACTTTTAGAAAAAGAGGGTGCCATAAAACATTTTGCACACCACTGCACTAAATGAAAATAGTATTGGATGTCTGTGCTTGTTTATACGAACTGTAGTACAAGTCTAGGCCATTAAAACAGAATAGAATTACAAATAACCAGTACATTGAAGAACTATAACCAACTAATACCAATCTTTGTCAGTAAATATCTCACCCAGTTTATAACACAAAACAGCTCAGGAGGACAGTTTAGTAATGAAGATTAATAACTTCCAAGTCACACAGATATCTACAACATGAACTAAAAATTAAAATAGCTTACTACAATTGAGTTTCTATTCGATTTAATCATACTTGCTATATTTAAATAGCATTGTGTGATTTTAAAATATAATATTACCTTCACCTTATTCATATACTTTTGATAAATTTTCCATATGGAATTCCTAAGCCTAATCTGTAATTTTTTTTATGTACAGTTTTTCTCTCTTGCATGTGAAGAATCTATAAATTTTATTTCTTTAATGCCTTCTTATGCATACCAAACTTCTCCAAGTATTTTCATAATCAAGTATAACCGTGAGTTCTTAAATGAATGGCTTCTCATGTTTTGCTGCAGCCAAGAAAAAGGCAAACATGGCGAGTTAAATTGGTTTTAGTAAGTTTTCAAGTCCCATATTTTTCTACCACAAACTAGTTATCTTTTATGTTTTCATTCAATTCATTCTTCTCTTGGTTAATTTTAAGACTTCTCAACAAAATTAGATGAATGCAATAATATGTTCTGTCTATGTTGTTTGTTCCTGGACTTACTCAGCATCACACAATGGTAAATTTTCAAAATATTTGATTAGTTAAATTATTTGTACAAATCTATTTATACAAAAAAGCAAGAATGTTGTTTTTTAAATTAATCTGTTCTATATGTTTCCACGGTGTTTATGTTCTATTAAACTTTTAACAACTACACTGTGAAAGAAGTTATAATCCATATGAGGTAGCATAAAAAACAAACTATGGAAGAATTCAAATTCGATGATGACGAACCCACTTTGAGACTAATAAGCCATCTCCAACCATTATTAAACTATAGAAGATAACAATCAACCATTTACTACACCTGGTGCTGAAAACAGTAAGATGATTTAAAATGTGACAAGTATAATTAATTTGAATACTAAAATACAACAAATGCAAGTGATACTTACAGGAAAGTTCACATAATCCCACGAAAGTATGCTTAAAAGGTTTTACTGAGTTTAAAATGTTACTTTTTGTGACCCCCCCCCCCCGAACATAAGTAATATTGGTCACATGAATGTACATGAACAGGAATAATGTTGCATACACCTATCAGAATTCATAGGTGTATCTTACAACAATAAGTATACAGAACATCTGTGCTACAAATTACCTTACAATAATCATGGCAGTGGCACCATCACTTGAACGTAGCTGACGGGAAATAAGCCTGTGAGTCCATTCAGAGTGCCTTCATACCAATTTTCATCAATACGACTCACAATATTGACGATGTCTCCTTCTTTGAAGCCAAGTTCTCCTTCATTCTCTGGCTCAAAATCATACAAGGCATGGCAGCAGGGTTGCTGGCGTACTGGTGTTCTAGCTGGAGAACAAACAGGAGAAGGGAGTGGAGAGGCTGAAGAACCATTCCATTTCTTTTATTAATTTAAAGAATACAAGTTCAACATATTGTACACTGTCATACTCAAAAAATAACAAATAGTAACAGAATAATATAGAATAAAATTGAATAGAATAATATAATATTCTTTGTGGTTACATAGGCATTGTTTCCCCTTCTTGTATTTAAAC